GATGGGGCCCAGGCTCTGGCCCTCCCCTTGGCCCCAGCTTCCACCACAGCTGCATTCCCAGTGAGATAAACAAGGGATCAGTGGGAGCAAAATGAATGAAGTAACAAGGAAGATATGAGCGGCCTCACCCAGCCCCCGGCCTGCCCGCTGCTGGACAAGGAGGGCTTTGGAAGAAGCCAGGCCCCCCAGCCTCAGCTGGTGCCAGGCACCCAGGGAGCTAAGCCTGGGCCAAGCTTTGGCTGATCCCCGGGCTCAGGATGCAAGCCCCTCTTGGAGCCCTCAGATCCTCCCCAGGCCCTGTCCCTGTGCCCCACCCTCCTCCTTGGCCTCCTCAGCCCCCCAGCCCTCACTGAGCTGGGATTATTTAAAATCCAAGCCTTGGTAATCTGGGGAACGCCTCACTTCCGTATGCAAACTCACCAAGCCTCTGAGCTGTCTGGAGCAGCATGGGGTTTGCCACCCTGGGCCTGGGGTTTGGCCCAGCACAGCCCATCCACATCTCCGCACATCCGATGAGCCTCTGCCTGCAAGTGGTGGACAGGCTGTTTATTTGAGGGGCCTTGCCAACCACAGTGCCAGCTCCTTGCCCCTGAGCCTTTGGCCATCCTGACCTCTCTCAGAGGGTCCCTGGAACACTGGGGGTGTCTCCAGGGCCAGATGGGAGGCTGGTGCTGCTGAGCCAGTTTGAATACCAACCAAGCTGGACACCAACTCAGGCACCTTCTCCTGCTGAGAAGCAGACAAAGAGCGAGTGTCAGTGGGGTGGGCTCCACCTCCACCCACTGGCTGTGGGGACAAGCTTCTCACTGAAGGGATCCAAGGCCTGAGCCCCAATCAGGGATCCTAGAAGCTCAGGCCCTTCCTTTCCTTGTCTTGAAAGGAAGAGGTGGAGGTAACTGAGCCCGCTGCCTGCTGGGAAACATGCAGAGAGTCCACCTGTGGGCTGAGCCAGAGGCCTAGCAGAGTTGGGGCATGTGGTAGGCCCCCCAGGGCCCACCCGCTTGGCTCAGCCTGGGCCTCAGCTGCTCTCTGCAAGTGCCCCCAAAACTGCCCCAAGTTTTGACTGGGTTGTCAAAACCTTCATTTCTTCCCCAGATTTCTCTGCAATCAACCCAGCTGTAACTGTGGAGCTGCAGGCCCAGGAAGGTGATCGAGGCCACACCTGAAGAAAAGGTGCTCTGGTCCCTTCCCCAGCTAGCCATCGTCTCCTGGCTTCCAGAATGTCCTGTGCTGCCTGCTGAGCTTCACGCACATCCCTGGCTCCCTGGTCCTCAGGCCCTCACTTTTCCAGCAGACTTCCTACCTCCCCACCCCATGTACCCTCTGCTCTGACCAGGGAGAGCACATCTGTTTGCCCAGCACGCAGTGCCCTGTCCTCCTCCCTGTGCTGGCCCCTAAGTCTGGAACGTTTGCTTGATGGCCTCCTTTCTACCCAAGATATTCCCGCTCGGCTCACAGACCAGCTCCAACGTCACTCTGAGAAGCCTTCCCTGATGCCCACCTTGTCCCTTGTCCTGATATATCTTCTAGTTGCACTCGTCACTCTGTAGCAAACCTGCCTCCCCTCCCGCTGGGGCTGTGTGTGATGCCCCTGCACAGGGCCAGCCAAGGCTGCCAGGAGAGCGGGTCAGAGCTGCCTTGTGGGGACACCCATGCCCAGACTCAGATGACTCAGGGGCTGCTGAAGTCCTGCTATGTACTCAGCTCTCTCTTCTCTGTTTCCCAAAGACAGCAGAGCCCCAGGAAGGGGAATCGGCTTACCCTTCCTGGGCAAGGGGAATCACTCAGCTGAGGTGGCGGTGCTGGCGCCAGAACTGACCCCAGTGATCACCCCCCCACACCAGTAGATTCACTGATCAGGACCACAGTCTTGGACAGTGGCTTGGTCACGGTCTCACCAAGTCCCCAGGCCCTACACTGGCCTCAAGGAGACACAGTGCAAGAAGAAAAAGAAAAACCTCTGAGATCAAGGGCTTGCCCAGAGCTGAGGCCCAGAGCCAGAGTCCTGGATGCCACTGCCCAGAACGAGGTGTGGAATAGAGGAGCCCAGGACGCAGAGTGGCCCAGCATGTGGGGAGCACCGAGAAGATGGGTGGTGAGACTCTCCAGCTCTGCCCAGGGTGCTTCGGCTGACAGTCCATCTGCCCTAGGGGCCACAGATTCCCAAGGCCCCTCTCCAGAGAGTTCCGGGCAGGGGCTGGATCTCCGAGGTGATGCTAAGCACAGCCAATCGTAGCAGACAGATGTGGGAGGCGCCCTGAAGAGGCCAGCGCTGTTTGAGTAGAGCAGCGATGAGGTGACCCCTGACTCCCTGCCAGGAAGCCACTTAGCAGCAGCCGCCGGCGCACCGGAGACACCCAATCTGTCAGCACAGGCCACGTGACAGGCTGGTGTGGAGCCATGGCCTTGAGGGGAGCCACCAGAGGGGGGCCAGATGCCGTTCAGGGCCTCGCTCAGAGGAGGAGAGGGCTGAAGTCACCATCCTGAGGGAGCCACCTTGATAGCTCCAGGTCCTTGAAGCTAGCTTTAATTTTTCACATTTTTTAAAAAATTTATAGATTTGAGAAGAGAGAGAAGGAGAGAGAGAGAGAGAAGCATCACTTGTTCCACTTATTTATACATTCATTGGTTGCTTCTTGTAGGTGTCCTAGGGATGGGAGCCACAACTTCAGGCTATCAGGACAGCACTCCGACCCACGGGGCCGCCCGGCCAGGGCTTTAACCAGGGTCGGCCTGCCACACCTTCTGTGTCCTCTGCCCAAAGAATCCCTTGGAGAGTTGCCCTGAGTGCCAAGCTCAAGGTCCTAGAACTGTGCCTTGGCTACTCAGCAACTGTGCAGTGGCTGTGGGCAGGTCCCCTTACTGCTGACCTTCACTTTCCTTCCCCATAAAATGGACTAAAAATGAAGGATGATGACCGAGCGGTGCATATGAGGTGCTTGTGGGAGCAGGGCAGGAGGTAGAGAAGTGGGGGTGTTTACCCCAGTTCTGCTAGTGGCTGTTCCTCCAGGCTCTCAGCTGCTGGGGGTGGGATGGGGGGGTCCTACTCTTGCTGGACCCTGGTAGCACTTTCCCGTCCTGTTCCCCTCCAGGCCTGGGGGCAGGTGGATCGCAGCTGGGCCTCCACACCTCTTCTTGGCTCTTTTGCCCCCGCCCCCGCCCCACCTCTTTCTGCACACACTCCCTTATCTACAGTCCTTTCTGTTAATTTCTTTGGGTGTATCACTGACCCCCTGCTGAGACCCTCCTGATACAGAATCCACCACAAGTTTTGGCGCCCAGGGTCTGCTTGACAGATGCGGCTAACCTCCGGCAGTTGCCTCAAATCCACAAAGCTGAGGAATAGCTGCTTTAGTTTGAGACCTCCCAATGCCCCCACCCTCCACAGTTGGCTGACTTCTCCCGGTGGCGGTGGCGCAGGCTTTTCCCTTTCCCCTTCACCAACTGCACAGCCACCCCACCTCCACTCCACACTTCTCCGAGCCTTGCCTGATTTGTCTCATCCCCCCAACAATGCTCTGGGCCTTCCACAGCCTCCCCACGGCCTGCCCTGATGCCAGCCTGATGAGTGCCTGCTCAGCTCCACACCCCTCCAGGTCCCCCACAGGCCCCATAAGCTCACATCTGGTCCGACAGCCTGGAGAGGCAAGTGGGGTGGGCCACGGAGGCCTTGAATGCCAAGCTGAGGGCCTCAAGCTTTACCCCGAATGGAGTGGCTTCACTTTACATATTCTGGATGTAAGTTCTTTATAGATTTCTGTATTGCAAGTATCTATTCCTGGTCTATGGCTTGCCTTTAACTTTTGTAATGATAAGTTTTCCTTCTTTTCTATCTTTTTATATTGAAAACAATAAAATACATAGATCTTAAGTATACAGTTTAATGGTTGTTTTGAAAAATGCACACGTTACAAACTTCCAACTGATTAATGGATCCTGGAGATTTAATGCACGGCATAGTGAATATAAAAAACAACATTGTATTATAACCATTGAACTTGCGAAGAATCTACATCTTAATGATTCCAACCACAAAAAAGAAATGATAATGATAATTGTGTGATATATGGAGAGGCTAACTATTCATACAAATGGCAATACATAATATACAAATGCATCAAATTAACATGTTGTACATCTTAAATTTACAAGGTGTTACATAGTCAAATGGATTTAACTGGAAAGAATACTTTACAAAGTAAAAATGCGTACACTAATGTAACCCCCACCCTTCTCAGTGCACAGAACATTTCCATCACTCCAGAAAGTTCCATGGTGCCCTTTCCCTGCCACTCAGCAACCCTGATATGATTTCATTTGTGTATTTGTTTCCTTTTCATTGAATTTATTGGGTCAACACTGGTTAACAACATTATACAGGTTTCATTGTCTTGTGTGTTCACCACCCCAAGTCAAGTCTCTGCCCATCGCCATTTATCCCCCTTTCCTTCCTTCACCTCCCCCACCCCCTCCCCCCAGCAATCACCACACTCTTGCCCATATCCAAGAGTTCTTTCTAAATCCCTCAACCTGCCCCCAGTATGATTTGTATCACCATAGATCCATTTTGCCTTTAGGGGTGTGTTGTTTTTAAACATAACTTTTTTGCCTGGCCCCTAAGTTATAAATACTATATTCTCCTATAGACACTATATTCTCCTATAATTTCTTCAGTTTTAGCTTTCATATTTAAGCTTATAATGCACCTTGAACTAACATTTGTGTGTGGTGTGAGGTAGGGATCAAGGTTATTTTACACCCCCCCACACACTCCAGCAGCATGTGCTGCATAGGATTGCAGCCATGTCTTTGTCATTACTTGAGTGACTGCATGTGAAACTTCTGTTTCTATACTTTATTCTGTTCCATTTGGATTCCTTTCTATCAGCAATATAACATGCCTAAACCACTCCCTGCCTGAAAATCCCCAAACCTTTCTTAACTCCACACTTTCCTCTACTTCAAAGCAAAGTTTTTTTTAAGAGTTACTGTTTCCATTCCTTACCTCCCACTTTTCCCATAGTCACCTCCAGTCTGCTTTCTGTCACCCCTATTCCATCCAAACAGCTCCCTCTACATTCCTGATGGCCTTTTTGTCAGTAAATCCAATAGATCCTTTATATTTTCCCCTTTATTCCAGGTAGCCACAGCATTTGACACTAATTTCAACTTTCTACTCTGCGAATCCACTTTCCTTTTCTTCTGTGACCCACTCTCTTGATTTTTCACCTACCTCTTCAGGTTCTCTTTCTCCAGCTACTCCTGGTTTCTCACTACTCTCCCTTTTCCATCTCTTTTTTTTCCTTTAATTTTTATTTATTCATTTCAGGGAGAGAGAGAGAGGAACAGAGAGAAGTATTGGTTTGCTGTTCCACTTATTTATGCATTCATCGGTTCCTTTTCCATCTCCTAAAGTTGGAGTTCCTCAAAGCTTGCTCCCAAACCCTCTCCTCTCCCATGCCCCACCCTGTGCTCTGCGGAGCTCATCTTCTTCCATGATTTCACTTACCATCCACGGTGAGGGCTATCAACTCTGGCTGCATGTCAGAATGTCCTGGGAGCTTTGGAAAAATTCCAGTGCTTAGCAGCATCCTCAGAGATTCTGTTGGTCCCGGGGTAAGAACCAGGTGTCAGTATTTTTTTTTAACTTTTAGTTTTCATTCCAACATGCAGGCAACATTAAGAGCCACTGGGAGCTCTGGCTAGTGTAGTTCAATGGATTGAGTGTGGACCTGTGAACCAAAGGGTCACCGCTTGATTCCCAGGCAGGGCACATGCCTGGGTTGTGGGCCAGGTCCCCCACTGGGGGCACATGAAGGGCCACCAATGATGTTCCTCTTCCTCTCCTTCTCCTTCCCTTTCCCTCTTTCTAAAAAATAAATGAATAATATGTTTTAAAAAAAAAGAGCCACTGGGAGAGATACTGGTAATTCCTAAACCCTTCACTCCAGCATATCTGTCCCCATACTTTGTCCCTAGCACTACAAACTCAGCATCCCCAAGTCTTAAGCACCCCCCCCCATTTCTCTCCTTTACAAACCTGAACCCCAGTAGTATATACTTGAGCTGGAAACAGGGGAGTTATTTTTGGTTCTCCAAGCTCCTCAGACACCCTCGGGTCTGGCCAAGTATCTTCTAAATTCCTCTGGAGACAATCCACTTTTCTCTGACCCAGTGTCTACTGCAAGCTAGGCATTGGGGCCATGGGGTGAACAAGACAGACTTCAGTATTGCCTTTAGGAGACTTACAATTTAGCAAAGGATGAGTGAGTGTGGGAGTGAGAGAGTGACTGAATCATCACGTGTTAACATTTAACCTCCCAGCCACGGCCATGGCCATCAGTCACCTCCTGTCTCCTCCCCAGTTCCCTGCTCTAATTTGTATGGTGGTTGGTTTTTCACAGCTCTATTGAGGTTCAATCAACATATATTAATAGCAATGATCTAAAATGTACAATTTGATATGTTTTGACATATGTACACGTTCATGAAATCATCATCACCTTTATGATAATGAAGGCATCCAGGCATCAGCCCCAGAAGATTCCTCCTGCCCCTTAGTAATCCTCCCCTCCAGCCTCCTAAAATCTCCCAAACAAGTCACTATAGGATTTGCATTTTCTAGGATTTCATACACTCTTTCCAGGGGGTCTGGCTTCTTTCATTCAGAAAGATTATTTTGAGATTCATCTATGTTGTAGCAGGTATCAGGAGTCCATTTGTTTTATCACTAAGTCGTAGTCCACTGTATGATATAGCTCAGTTTGTCTACCCATTCACCCAGTGATGGACATTCTCAGCTTCAGGCTCTTACAAGGACAGCTGCTATGAATATCGATGTGTTGCTTTCTGTTGTGGATGGATGTCTTCACTTCTCTTGGGAAATACCTAGAAATGGAGAGGCTGTGTCACGTGGTAGTTACATGTTTAGCATCTTAAGGAGCTGCTGGGCTGTTTTCCAAAGTGGCGGCCCCATCTAACACTTCACCAGCCATGACCGAGCATTCCAGTTTTTGTCCGTTTTTTGGTCTAAAGTGTCTTCATATACTATAGATACACGTCCTGGGTTGGATATACGTTTTATAGAAATTTTAGTCTGGGCTTTGCTTTGATCATTTTCTTTTTTAAAAATACTTTATTTACTTATTTTTAGAGATGGCAGGAAGGAGGGAGGGAGAAAGAGAGGGAGAGAAACATCAATGTGGGTTGCCTCTAGCATGCCCCCTACTGGGAACCTGGCCCACAACCCAGGTATGTGCCCTGACTGGGAATCGAACCAGCCACCCTTTGGTCCATAGGCTGGGACTCAAACCACTGAGCCACACCAGCCAGGACTATCATTTTCTGAATATGATAGTCCTGGCTGTCTTAGAAGTGTCTTAGAAGAGCTCAAGTTTTTCATTTTAATGAAATCTAATTTATTGATTTTTTTCTTTTGTTGTTTGTATTTTTTGTAATGTATTTCAGAAATATTTGCCAAACCCAATGTAATTAAGGCTTTTTGCCTATGCTTTCTTCTAGAAGTTTCATAGTTTTTGCTCTTACTATTTTTAATTAATTTTTGTGTATGGTGTGCAGGACAGTGACTTTCACCAGCCTTACTTCTTCTCCAAACCACTCTCCTCACTACAGGGTGGTTTTGCCAACATGTAAACCCTTCTATGTCACTCCTGGGCTTAAATTGCCACCGTCGAGGCAAATTCCAGTCTCTCTACGGTAGATGCCTCTGCTCGCAGCTGGTCCCAATCAACACCCATCCTTCATCCCCCTGTTCTGTGAACACCACAAGCCATTTCTCAAACACATTGAACATCTCTTTTTTGCTTGGTTTTGCACATGCTGTTGAAGTACCACCCCCACCACCTCCCTTCTGTCACCACGCACTTTTGACATTTCTTGTGAGTCCTTCAAGGATCAACTAAGATGTTGCCTTCTCCAGGAGACCTGGGCAGAGGCCGACGAGGCCTCTGAGTCCCCGTGTCCTGCTGAACACCGCTGAGCACCGCTCAGCACTGGAACCATAATTACCTAGTTACCTGTCTGTCACCCTCTCATCGACCCCCCTGGGGCCACGGCAGGTGTCTCCCCATTCAGGATGCCAGTCAAAGTATGTAACAACTTAGATCCCCTCTCCGGGATATACCACCTGAAAGTCAGCCTGGCCTTTTTCTGCGTCCTCGGTGGCGCAGAGGAGGCCCGGCCTGGCCGTGGAGGGAACCACCCTGGACATTTACCCCTGCACACCTTCCCCTCCACCTGGATCTTTTCCTTCCAGGACACACTGTTCACTTGGAGGTGGGGGTTGGGGGTGGCAATGTCCTTAGGAAAAGCAGGAGCTGGGCTGGAGAGGGAAGGAGGAGAGGGAAGCAGAAGCCAAGGTTTTTGGCAATACAGGTTCTGGAAGTTGAGGACAAACAGGCCTGGGACCACAGGATGGGGTGAAGTCAGGGCACAGAGGGACAGCCTCCAGTCAGGGCCTGTGGCCCCTCAGCAACTTCCCTGTGAGGCTGTGGGCCCCTGGGCAGCTACAAGGCTTTTGCACGTTTCTCCCTGCTCCAGCCAGGCAAGGGGGTGAACCTGAGGTCACCCCACGCCTCTTGCTGCTTTCTCAAACAGCCGCTTACCACAGGGGACCTGGAAAGCCAAGTCAATAACGTGAAACCATAAAATATCGAAGGCGTTGAACGTTTGGACAGAGGAGCAGACGCGGCAAATGGGGCCTTTTCCCAGGCAACTCGTGTGGAACAAGCAAAACAGATTTATGAGCGTCTGGTTGAAACGGAGTTGTGGGGCGGGTGGGGTGAGGGGTGGGGGCTGGCTTCAGACAGGGAAGTCTGTAGCGCAAAGAAAAGATGAAAAATGGGAATTAATTGCATAGCCCCCATGACCATGATTTAAAATGAGTGAAACACTGTCTCTTCTGTAGTGGGGCTTGTTTTGGTGTCATTTGGAGAAACATAAATGCATTTGTCGGCACTTTTATGGGCTCTCCCAAGACCTTCAACCCCTGATCCTCTGTTCTCTGAAAGGGGGCAACTGGAGGGGGTGCTGGCCTCTGTGTGTGTACGGGGCTGGGTGGGCTGTGAGCCCATCCTTGGCCGGGACTGTGGACTCCCAGATGTAGCCACACGGCCTGCATCGGAGTCACGGGGCGTGTCTAATTCTCGCTATAGACTTTGGACAGACTCTGAGGCTTCGAGTGTGCATGCATACACACACGCGTACACACATGTGCACACTGTGTGCACACTGAGTGAGCTTTACTGAGTGCCAGGCTTTGCTGAAGGGAGAAACGAGAGGCCTGACTCTCTAGAACCATCTTCCCCTCCAGCATCCCTCAGGGATCAGCTCATGTGGGAGCAGGGCTTCCTGACCCTCTGGGGAGCCTCCCAGCTCCCCTATAACTTCCAGCACAATCCAGGAAGGTGTTCGGCAGCTCCTCAAATGCCCTCAGCTGGTATGGAACAGGTGGAAGTTTCTCAGGGTCCGAGGCAGTCTTTGGAGGTGGGAGGGGCAGAGATCGCCTGGGCCTGGTCATCTCAGGTTCTCAGGGTCCCTAGGGGAGGCACCTGCCTACCTAGGTCAGTGGAGTTGGGTTAGTCAGAGTCAGAAGGCCCAGAACAGAGCTGCCTCCTAGGGGCTCCATGTCCTTGGGGTGACTTTTCTTCCCTAGGGCACCCCTGAGCCACCCCTATCTCAGTCATAACCACATCTGGTGCCATGGGATGCCCCAAGGCCACAGGAGCACAGAGGTTGTGGCTCCCAGGGAGGGAGACCCTGGGGCAAGAACCTAGGCAGGGGCCCTGGGGAACAGATGCCTCCTCGGAGTTTACCACCCTCCAAACCTGCCCTTGGGAGTCCCGAGCTGTAGTCATGTGACCGTCACTGTCAGCTTCTAGGGGCTGCAGTCCCAAGGGACAGGGATGTGCTTGAAAAGAGTTACACTGCATTGCCTGGCTGTCAGCACACCATAAGGAATGAGCAAGATCAACAAAACTCTGCCACCTCACACACCACCCGGCTCCACTGCCCGTCTGTGTGCTAACCTACGCTTTTTCTTCCTACCTGAGACCTTCCAACCCCTCTTTCCATGGTCTCCCCTGGCCACCTCAGCCAGGACCACACAGACTTGTGAGCACTCCAGCCCCCTAATTTCTGGAGATGGGGATACCAACTTTTGCCATCAATGGTCTCCCCTGGCCACCTCAGCCAGGACCACACAGACTTGTGAGCACTCCAGCCCCCTAATTTCTGGAGATGGGGATACCAACTTTTGCCATCAAACAATTCAGGCCTTGTGTCTATAGCCAGAGCCCAGCACGGTCCTTCCAGACTCCTAAGGCACGCTGTGAGGCCAGCATCAACACCACCTCCATTTTACCCAAAAGGAAACTAAAACCTGGGGAGGTGAATGACTTGGCTAAGGTCTACACCACTGTGAAGGGGACGACCAGCCTGGAAGCCCGGCCTGGAAGCCCAGCCTGGAGGTCTGCAGGCATCCATGTGCTTAGCTCTCCGGGCTCTGTCTCCAGCAGAGAGGAAGCAAAACCTGACAGGCTGTGGTGTGTGTGTGTGTGCTCGCCTCTTCAACACCAACATACACACACACAGGCACACACAGCACAAGTGCACAAGCACACACGGGCACACAAGAATGCACACATGTGTATGAGCACATAAACACATGCATGCACACATACGTGTGCCCATAATCCACACACGTGCGTGCACACATGTGTCCGCAAGCACATCCCCACACAAAGCACACACATGAGTGCATACATGCCTGCACATGAGTGTGCACACACATGGACACGTGCATATGAGGGACACACCCCCTCCACATGCAGCAGAAAGTGCACAGGTTCCCACCCTGCTCACCAGTTGAGCTCTCGGTTGCTCCCCTGTAGGTGATGAGCCCTCCCACTGCTGCTGTTCAATGAGATGATGGATGAGGAGCCCAGGGGCCCAAGGCCTGGGTGATGAGAGAGGCCTCAGTAGGATGGCATGTAGGCCCCATCCAGACTGGGGCGTCACCTGGAATAAAATCATGAGGCAAACATGAGCGAGGCTGTAAACACGGGCAGACAATAGGGGAGACAGGCCCTGAGGCTCCATAATGAGCGTCCGGCCAGGCCAGAGCTTAGGCCCTGCTTGGCTCAGGGGTGGCTGAGGGGACGGCAGGCGGGGGCTGCTCTGTGCTTGGCTGGGACGGCCGTCTCGGCTGCGGCTGGCCGGTCCAGCTCCGAGTTGGCTGGAAGGCCTGGCCTCCACACAATAAACAACAGAGAAAGATAAATCGCAAATGTGTCTGGAACGGGTGGGGAGTGGGGAGAGGTGCAAGGGGGTCACCAGGGGACCTGTTTCCTTCCTTGGCTGCTTCACTACCCCCCTGACTGGAGGGCCCAGCACTCCAGGGGGCTCAGTCCTGGAGCCCAGGACTACTGGGGGCTGGGATGGTGGGACCAGAGACAAGATGTATTGAACATGTGGAGCCAAAGAGGCCCTTTGAGGCAAATTTCCACCTGGAAAATTCCAAAGAAGTGCAAAGTCTCTGTGTGGAGTGGAAGGCCTGGAGGCGGGGCAGAAGTCCTCAGGCCAGGCCAGGGGGCTGTCACGGAGCCCACAGACCCAACCAGCATCCACTGCTTTGGGCCTCCCCACCCCCACCCCAGCCAGGGATATAGGGCAACTGGCTTGTGTTCTCCCCTTTTCTAGAAAAGGGAACAGGCAAATCAATGGGGGCTTTCTCTTCTGTGCCTCCTTCCTGTGTCCCCCAACACGGTCTTAGATCTCCCCCTTTCTCCAGGTGACCTCACACCCAGCAGTTCCACCTGCTGACCCTACTTCTCCAGCTCTACATCTGGTACAAACCTCCTCCCCCAGCTGGATTCTGGGCATTCCCACCTGCATGGCCCCGGGGCACCTGACAGGTGCAGACCCTCTCGGCCACTCCCCTACCGTGAACCTGACCTCAACTGCCTCAGCCGGAGACCAGGGAGCTAGACCTTCGCCCTCCATCCTTCCTCCTCCCCCAGACCCGCAATGTCTCCTTCCCTCCTGTCCCCCACAGCCAGAGGGATCTGCGGGAATGCACATCTAACTTTCCCCCCTCCTGGGTTCCCCATAACCTACAGGACAAAAGCCCAGTTTTTGGGTGCCACAGGGCCCCCCTGTCCTCTCACTCTTTATCCATTATTTTCCCTCCTCTATCACTTGGCACCCACAGAGGAAAGCTTTGGTAGGGCCTCAAATTCACCATACTACCACCCCCCTCCCAACCAGGTGCTTCTAGAACAGTCTTGCAATTCACCTCCTCCCCTAGTCTGAGCAGGAGTCATGGCGCTGCCCCAGGAAGCTGGTATGAGGGAGGAGACATGGACCTGCCATAAAAAGCAAGTTAGTCCGACGGGAGAGACACAACCACTCTCTGGAAAGGGTCTGAGTGGGGAGTCACAGTCCTGGCCCAGAAAGTCGAGTCCGAGGGGGTGCAAGACCTCTTCTGAGAAGCCCCAGTCACAGGAGGAAGGTGTCACTTAGCCCTGGTTGCTGTGATCAGTGCAGAGATGTGGCCCTTCTTATACAAGTCCCTATTCATCAGGCCTCCCCTAAGAGGGTCAGTAGGTGTGGGCCTGGACCCAAGGCACCTCAGCTCTGGGAGGGCCTGCCAGCGCAGGGCACAAGCCCTCATCCGCCTGCAGGAAGCCAGTGGCCAGGCACTGCCAGAGGGATGTGAGGCACGGAGCCAGGCCTGACGAGGGGTTGGCCCTACCAGTGGCTGCAGGGCCGATGTTGGGCGCACCTAATATTAGCCCTGCCGGACTGCTGAGGAGTGCAGAGGACAGGGACCCGTGGTGGCTTTTGGGCAAGAAGGGTAGACAGGCATCTTTGTGCCCCCGACCCAGGCAGCCTATCTCCCAGGGCAGAGACGGCAGGACCTCAGGACTGCCCTTACATTCCCACAGGGCCGCGTCAGGGTACCTGTATGTGCTGCGGGGTTTCAGCTCTCTGCTTCTTTGAGGATAGGTTCCAGGTGACCCGCACTGAACCAGAAGCTCCCTGAAGAAGGAGAGATGATAACCATCTATCACACGCCCACTGTGTCCTTTCCCAGAACCACCTCACTGCTTACTAAACCCTAAGGGAAAATGTCATTGTGGGCTCAGAGAGGATAAGAAACTTACCCAAAATACACAGATAGAGTGTGAGAGAGCTTAAATTCAAACCCAAGCTATCCCGTGCCCCAAGTTGCCTTAAAATACACCTCCCTGGGAGCAGAGACCAGGGCTTCCCCATCACACGCCAATCATCGTACCTCTCCTTTTCTCCCAGGTCCCATCAGCTGCCCCCAGACCATGCGGTTTGGAGCATGGCTACCAGTGGCTGTCCTGCTTGAGAACGTTGTCTAGTCTGTAAAGAACACCTCAACAGCACTGGAAGGGTGGGTGAATGAATGTGTTCCAGTGCCTCCTCTCTGGGCCAGACTCCATGCCACAGAGAGAAGGAAGAAGGGTTGATTCCCGACCCTAGGAGCTTCCATTTTCGTGGGGAAGATGGGCTAGGACCCAAATCTGCCCTGAGCATCAGTCGCTGTGCCGTATGAGTGCACAGAAGCAAGTAGGCGGGAAAGAGCCAGGGGTCCATCCCCCAGGCCAGACATGGGGAATTAATGGTACACTTCATGGAGAGGGGAGTGTTCCAGCCAAATCTTGTGTGAAGGACTTTTCAGGCTCAGTGCTGAGGAGGCGCCACTAAACAGCCCAGACTTTCCAGAAGCCAGGGGTTTACCTGGAAGGTGGGTGAGGTGCACGGGGAGACTGGGGCCCAGGGAGCATGGATGCCTTAGGACACCAAGGGCCTTGACCACCTGGGTAAGGAGCTGGAACTTTCCCTGCAGTCAACAAGGAGCCTGGGAAAATATAAGGCATGGGGTGACATGGCCACCTTGACTACTGATGGGGCTGGTCAGGCAGGGAGGGCCTGGGGGCAGCGGCTCTGGCAGAGGCTGGCACAATGATCTCAGTAAGGGATAGACAGGTCTGTGCCGGAACACTGACAGTGTGGCCGCCACCGGAAACTGTCAGGACTCTCGAGGGGAGTGAAGGTCTGGCAGGATCGCCCACTGAGATAAGACACTCAAGAGTCTCCTGCTGAGGAGGGGTGCCTAGGGTCCATGCAGTGGGGAGGTATATGGGCCTCAACTTCCCTTCTTTTACCTGGGAATTCCCTCCTGAAATGCTCAGTTGCTGTCTGGGCCCCAGTTTCCCTCTTCCACCTCAGAGAGCTTTCCCATAGCTGGAAGGTGGGCAGTAGGACACTCCTCTACCTGGGCAGCCTGGATGGAAGGCCAGAGCCCAACCTTGTCCAGAGGCAGTTCCAGAGGCCTCACGCCTTCTGTTTAACGGGGTTGTGTGTCCACTGGCAGATCCTAACCCCCTTGCTCCAACGCTGTGGCTGGCATGGTGGACCACAGAGCTGGGCTTGCTTGTGGATGGTGCCCTGGGTGTCCAAGCCCACTGGCAAGGGGAACCGTGCCAGGGCCATGGGAAGAGAGGGTGATGGCCCCAGGAGCTTGGGTGTTCAAGCCACCCTCAGTGCAACAGGCAGCTGGCCCTGGCATGGAGCAGGCTGGACTGTGGGTGGCAGGGAGCTCTGGCCCACAGGCAGCTGGCAGTGACAGCAGCTGCTCATCTTGTTTTCCACTCCCCCAGATCATCATCCAAATCACTGCTTTCCCCTGTGGTCCCTGGTCAAGTGGATAGAGACTGGGGCTATAGTGTGCGTCTTCTGAGGCAGCATCAGGCAGGCCTTGCATCCAACCCCAGCTCTGCTCTAGCTGAGCAGTTTCTCCACTATGAAATGAGGATAGTAACAACCACAGTGCCTGGTCTCTAGTGAGTACTCATGGAAGGGCAGCTCTAACGTAGGCAGAGCAGGCAGCAACCCTAAATGACTTGCACAGGAGAGAGGGTCTCTTGATAGATCTGTGGTCAGAAATCCTAACATTGCTACATCGCTGTCTTGCTTATTGTCTCCCCAAGGCCTCCTCCTAAGCAGGGCCCCAGGTCCCTTGTGCAGGATGACAGGATTGGAGGAAAGTCCAGGACTTCAGCCACCTTTGACCACCAATTTTCATGATGTTGGACAGTTTTGCTGATGGTCAGAAAAACACCACCAGCCCAGGAACAGCTCTGGTCTGGCCCTTGTCATTTGAGTGAGTTGGATACACTGGTGACTCCCAAGGACCATTTCAGTGTTTGGCTTTCAGGATGCAGAACCTTCATACCCACTGGCCAGGCATCTGCGCTCTTTGACTCCATGTCATGCCCCTCCAGTCTGAAATACCTGCTTGCTCAGATTTCTTTAACTGGGTTGCTCATATTCTCCTCTGCTACTCCAAGCCCATCTAGTTTTCTAATACCTACCCCAGCCCAGCCTTTCTGGGATTCTTTCTCCTGAGAAATTCAAGTACTTCTGGCTGAGTTGCACAGCCAGGCCTGGATGGCACGCTTTTGCTCAAACCAGTTCCGCCACCAGAGGCCCAATCTTCTCCCCTCCCTGGCTTGAACTATGGGCTCCAGGGCAAGAGCTAGGCTTTGGCATCCCTCTGTGGCCCTTGCAGGCTGAACACACGCTCTCAAGTCAACAGGAACTCAGAAAAGGAACTGGGAAGCTCGTGGCCTTGTTTCCAATCCCTGCTCTGTTCCTTCTAACCAGATGACCTCAGACGGTTCTCACTGCTGACCTCGACCCCTGCTCTGTTATCCTCTGTGAAGTAGAGAGGCACCACCCACCCCTGCATGCCTAGCACACAGGTAAGAATTTGAACTAAGTGTTCTCCTTGGATGATTTCAGTCAATACTCATAGCAATCTTAAGAGGTAGTCTATTATTTACTCCTTGTTTACAGATACAGAAACAAGCTTAGCAGAAACAGTGAATGACTTCTTCAAGGTCCCAGAGCTGGAAAGAGGTGGGGCCACGACCACACCCAAGCAGGGTGACAGGGCACCCTGCTGTACAGCATGCCTTCAGAGGCTATGAATACACTTTGAGCCCTTGGTGTTCTTTATGGAGAAAGAGAAGGTTGCTCTTGCCATTTTAAGATGAGAAATGGAGGTCCAGAGAGAGGCAGTGACTCTTGGAGGCCACAGCATGTCCATAGCACAGCTAGAGTGCTGACTACTGCTCCAGGCTCCTTCCCCACCCCCGGATTTCCTGATTTCTTTGACATCACATGTAACAAGTCTCCTCTGCCCCAGATCATATGAACCAGGTGGGCTGCCCACTGATTCTCATGCATTGGCTGCATGGATGCCAAGCCACTCAGCCCAGATCTCCACCACTGGGCCATCATCACCATTCAAGGCCATAGTCTCAGAGCAAACATAAGCCATAGGCCAAAACCTATAGTTCTGGTTACACCCCACATCCAGGGACGCTTCGCCAAACAGACACACGCCTGGTTGTTAAGAAACATCTAGTGATGTCAGAAGTCCAACTGGGGAGCTATGTGGGTGGCTGTGGTGATGATGGTTGAGACGGTGAAGTTGGTGGAGGTGAGAATGGAGGTGCATTTGGAGGTGAGGATGGAGGAAATTATAGGGATGCTTGAGACATTAGCAGTGGCAATGGTGGTGATGATGGTAGACCTGCTGAAGATGATGGGGATGGGATTAGATTGATGGTAGTAGTAGAAGTGGTAGATAGTATGACAGTGAGGAAAGAGGAAATGATGGGGATAATGGAGATATTGGTGGTAAGGGATGCTGCTGTGGCTAGTAAAACTGGAGGCAACAGTAATGGTGAAAATAATAGCCAGAGGACTTCTAGCCAAGATAGAGGGGTTCCTAGATACACTTTCTCTCCTCACACAACCAAAAGAAGGACAACAAGAAATTTTAAAACAAAAATAACCGGAACTGCTCAAAAACTGTATGGAAGTCTGACAACCAAGGAGTTAAAGAAGAAACACTCATTCAGACTGATAGGAGGGTCAGAGAGGATGTGCAGCTAGGCAGTGGTGGGAGGACTGGGTGGTCCCACAGTCAAGTGCAGATAGGCCAGGAGGAACAACTGGGGAGTGAGACAGACCACACACACAGGGTTCCAGGGTGAGAGACTAAAGCTTCAAAAACCTCTGGCTATAAAAATCTGTGGGGGTTACTGTGGCAGGAGAAACTCCCATCCTCACAGGAGAGTTTGCTAGAGAGACCCACAAGGTCCTAGAATGTACACAAACCCACCCACCCTGGAATCAGGACCAGAAGGGCCCAATTTGCTTGTGGGTACTGGGGGAAGTGACTGAAAGCTGGCAGAGAGTGAAGCAAGCAGCACTGTTCCCTCTCGGACCCCTCCCTAACATACAGTGCCACAGTGCAACAACATGGGTTCGCCCTGGCAAATACCTGAGGCTCCACACCTTACAATGTAACAGGCACCTGGAGATTTAAAAAAAATGTCCCAAATGAAAGAACAGGTCAAAACTCCAGAAAAAGAACAAAGTGACAAGGAGATAGCCAGCCTATCAGATGCAGAGTTCAAAGCACTGGTAATCAGGATGCTCACAGAAATGGTTGAGTGTGGTTGCAAAAGAAATGAAAAAGTGAAGGCTATACAAAATGAAATAAAGAAAAATATACAGGGAATAAACAGTGAAGGGAAGGAAACCAGCACTCAAATCAACAATTTGGAGCAGAAGGAAGAAATAAATATTCAATCAGAACAGAATGAAGAAACAAGAGTTCAAAAAAATAAGAAGAGGCTTAGGAACCTCCAGAACAACTTTAAATATTCCAACATCCAAATCATAGGGGTGCCAGAAGGAAAAGACGAAGAGCAAAAAATTGAAAACTTGTTTGAAAAAATAATAAAGAACTTCCCAATCTGGCAGTGGACATAGGAAGTCCAGGAAGCTCAAGGAGTCCCAAAGAGGTGGGACCCAAGGAAGCACAAGCCAAGGCATGTCATGATTATATTACCCAAGATCAAAGATAAGGAAAGGATCTTGGAAGTAGCAAGAGAGAGGAAGACCATTGCCTACAAGGGAGTTCCCATAGG